AGGCGTTTATTCACTGTGTTCAGATCCAGAGTGAGCTGATGGGAATCTGATGGAGATAAAACACATCAGAATCAGGAATTATGAATCTGTTTGATCTGTTTGATCTGTTCAAGTTCAGTGTATCATCAGTGTCTCAGATGAACAGATATCTATGCAAATCATAATTTACATCAGTTATAAAACTCTTCTTTCAGCTTCTACAGGAAGAACATGAACACACTCAGTGAGTTTTTCTGCTTGTTTTCTTACTGACTTACATTGTAGGAAGTCGTTCCTGGTTCTGGGAACAATGTTGGTGAATGTGACTGTGGAAATCAACAGACATGAACAGTGTGATTCTCATGATCCTGCATCCATTCCTAAGACATTTCTAATATGATGTTCTCCATGATATGAGATGATGATGGACTGGTTTCTGAGAGCAGATGAATCTCCAGGACTTTACCTCTGTCTGAGATGTTCTTGACCTCCTCTTTGCAGAAATCCTCCAGTTTGTCTCTCAGCTGATGGACAATGTGAACTTTCTAGGAAATAGTTTGGATGATAAAACATCTGCTAAGAATATAATTGTCCATCTAACTGTCAGGGCTCTGTCACTTTGGTCTAGTTTATTTGTGGTTTTGTGACAGAGCCCAGACACTCCCATCATGTTTTGTTTTTATGTGAGCATGTTGTCTGGAGTTCGCTCGGCTGTGCGCTCTTCTGTCCACTTGTGTCGTTGTGTTTTGTGAAGCACGCGGTTCATGTTTGGCCATGTGCTCTCTCGTAGTATTGTATTGTTTGCACGCAACTTGTTTTATCATCTACATGCCACCTTATATTTTCTCCTGTAGTGTGTAGTACACAGCTTGTGGTTTTCACTGACTGCGTGCTTTCATGTTGTCTTGTTTTGTGTGAACACGTGGCTTGTGAGTGTTGTCATTAGCTGCGTGTTCGTGTCTTTTTTGTTCAAGCACATGGCTTGTGATTTATTTTTTTGCTGGCCATGTGCTTGTGTTTTGTGTGAGCACATGGCTTTTGTTTTGTGTATATGTGCCATTTGCTCTCATGTCTATTGTCTTGACCCAACCCATCTTTTTACCTGATTATTGGTTCAGTTGCCCCACCCATTCCCCTTCTTGTTTGCTCCCTATTTATTCTCCTTGGGTTTGCTGTCCTGTGCCAGTTTACTCGACAGGTTTTCCGTCGAATGTACCCTGGTTGTGAGCTGCCCTGCCTTGTCCTGCCTTGCCAGTCTTGTTGCCTGCCTGTTTTCCCCCTTGGGGTAGTTTTTGTTGTTTGTTTTGTTTATATTTTACAAATAAAAAGCCCATTATCTCTGCAAAATTGAGTCCTCACCTCATCCCTACACCCCAACCCTGACACTAACAGCTCAAGCGCATATATGGCGTCTCATTGTAGGGTTGCTCAGGAAAAGCAGCTCAAAGGCTAAAATTAAATTGACCAATATTTATAACTTTAGAGTAGTTGGTTAGAGACGATGAAATTTCATAATGACCCTTAAGACAAGCTCAGATTTGGTTTGGTTTCAATACGCTGAAGAATTGCTAATATACAGCCTCACTTCATGTCTGGGTGTTATCAGGGGCTAAATTGGGGTTTGTTATGTGGGGGGGCTCTATGGTGTGGAGCTTACACACACACACATGTGTTTTTTTGTTTTTGTTTCAGTTTTCTATCAGCTGTGACATAATTTTATATTTTATCCAAGGGCATTTTTTTTACCTTTATAGAGGGCATTTTCCCACTAATCTCATTAATAGTTTAATTAAAAATTCTTACATTTGATCTTTAAATTAAATTATAATATGTGATTATCAATACGTTATCAAATTAAATCATTTACACTGAAAAATACAACTGCAATAGTATGAGATTATTTTAAATATTTTTGAATATACAAACAAGAAATTATGGTGGAAATGATACTTTTCAACTAAATTAAAATGGCAGTAGGTGCCAGTAGTGAATGATGCCATTTAGAGAGGTGCCGTTTTATGAGTGAGTCATTGAGTCGTTCATTCAAACGATTCGTTCAAATGGCAGATTTATGTTTTAATCACGTTACTTGTCTGGCATTAATGAAGCGTTAATGTCGAGCCCTGGAGTCTTTGTGCCGGGGCTCAGCCCCGGACAGCCGAGGCCCAATTTGGTCTTTACTGAGTAATCTTTACTACTGAGTCTTTACTGAGGAATCTTTACTACTGAGTTCACAGATTTCACCATGATGTAATAAATCAGAGGGGAAAATTAGATAAAAACTCAAATGTTAGTAAAGTTTTGAACTGTTGGTGGCGTAAGTGACGTTTGACAGCTAAATATATCTTCCAGAAGAAAGGAGAAGGGTCTGGCTGCAGTCTTGCGCTTGCACTCTCAGATGTGCATTCTTAGGCTTGCACTCTCAGACACTTGCACTTCCGCTAGCGACGTCACTTGCCGTCTTTTTTATTTTTTATTTTGTTCTATTTATTGATTACTTTTTGTTTGAATCTCTCAACATTTTACAACAGTAGCCAGGTGGTGAAGACAAGACAAAATAAACTAAATTACGAAATCACTTGCAATCGCCACTTGCACTCTCCGACACCTGTAAGTCGCTTTGGATAAAAGCCTCACATAAATGACTAAATAAATAAATAAATAAAATAATCATTAAATCACCACCACAGCTTCTTGTCTCCATTGGCAACACGCACGATTTGTGTCAATTGGAAGTGACGTCGCAGGTGTCGGAGAGTGCAAGTGGCTATTGCAAGTGATTTCGTAATTTAGTTTATTTTGTCTTGTCTTCACCACCTGGCTACTGTTGTAAAATGTTGAGAGATTCAAACAAAAATAATAAATAAATAGAACAAAATAAAAAAAAACTGTAGAAAACTGAGTCGGGACGAGTATCAACACAAACGTGTAGCCAATCAGCAGTAAGGGGTGTGTCTACTCATGATGTGGAGGAGAGAGCACTTGTCACGAATCCTGTCCATGAACTTCCATCCACTTGCCACCAGAGGTCGCCCTCCCATTATATTGACTCTCACGCCACACAGACTGTTAAACATCACCCTGGACTACATTTCCCATGCTCCATTGCTCTAATCACAAGCTCACCTGAAACTTATCACACACAGCTACCAATTACACCCATTATAAGAATCAATCTCAAACAACCATTCACTGCCGAGTATTGTAAGCGCATATCGCTACCCTAGTCGATAGCTACTTTACAGAGCCAGTTCCCCGTCCTAGTTGGAGTTTCTAGTTGTCTAAGTCTAGTCACGTCTAGTTTCCTGATTGCCTGTTTCCTGATTTTCGCTTGTCCTGGATTATCCCTCTCATCTCACCCTGTTCGAAAACTGTTTGCCTCTCATCTGGACCATAGCCTGTGTTTCGGATTAACCCTTTGGATTACCCTGTTTGGACATTGTTCGCCGGCGATCGACCACGGCCGCTCACTGGACTTCTCTTGTGTCTTGCCCTCAATATACTGTACCTGTTTGCCATTGTCTGACTCTTGCTTGTTTTGACTTTGTTCTAGAATAAAAGCTTTGCATATGGATCCACACGCCTCTCGTCTCGTCGACCCCGTAACAGAATTCTCGGCCACACAAGGATCCAGCAGCTTCTCATGTGAACATTGGCCAGGTATAGACACTGCAAGACTGTTGTCAGTCCTCGAGCAGGGCACACGCTCGCTCGAGGACTACATTCAAGAGTATCTGGACATTGCCTATCACTCTGATTTACCGGACTGTGTTTTGATAGATTTTTT